GGAGCCAGAAATAATAATAGCATTTAAGAAAAAACAAAACAAACTATCCATCACTCTACGTGTTTAGTAAAGATGTCAGTGAAGAGAAAAACTCATACTGAGTTATTTTATTGCTGTCTTATTATGTTAAAAAGGGAGAATGTAATGGGTAGGCATAGGGACTTTTTTTTTTAAAAAAAAAATGTAATTAATCAAGAGCTCGCAACGGAAGACTTCAAAAACAGTTCCTTGGTTCAATAGATGCTTGAAGCCAGTTGAGAGTCCTTCTGGACCCTGAAGCTAGCAGGGAGGCTAATGACTGAGGAAGACCCCGAGGGAGAGCACCCACATCCAGAAGTCATATTCCCTATTTACCGCTGGCAAGGACAAAGTCTAAGCCCAAGGTCATAGACACAGCGCTCACCACATTCATGGCAGGGATCTGTGGAAAACAAGATCCTCTTGGGCTTCCTTAACGCTCTGAGTGTATCAATGAGCTCAAGACAATGTTGGGCAAATCTCTCTACCAAGATGTAACCGTAATCGTCATAACATTGAATAGGGGCCGGGTACTGCTCCACATTCATCTTGGTCAAGTTGGCTGTGTGACTCAAAAGGTCATTCAGGGTGGGCATGGAAAAGTCATTATCTAATAGATTAAACTCGGTGAGCTTGGAGCACTTGCTGAGGGCAGGGATGAGGTCAGTGAGCTGAGAGTCCTTGATCCTACAACCCTGCAAGTCCAGAGACTGCAGAGATTCTGCTACATGCTCTAGCAGCACTCCAAGAGGCTTGAGACATGAAGCAAATAACAAGATTCCTCTCAAGACCAGATGTTTTAGCTGATGCAGGTTGTGGCTCAAGGGGAAATAATTCAAGTCCAACTGTGACAGGTGGCGTCCTGTGATGGAGATTGTCGCCAAGGGGTTCCTCAGGCACCTATGGGTAGACAATGGGATTGGTTCAGACAAAAGGTTCTGGAGAGTGTGTATACTGGGATTTAAGAAGAGGAAGATGGGGCACGTGTCTCAATGTCAGTTTGACTATATGAACAATCAGAGTACCAGGGTGCTGCCTCTTGTCACACCCACAACTCTCACCATAATTGTTCCCAGTCACTGGCAGGCCCCATGCACATGCTAATCCTTAGAGTAAACTGTAAAGGTTTGCTCTGGTAGCTAAGCCACCTCCGCATCCTTGCTTACCAGAGTATTTGTTTCATGTGGTCTTTGAGAAAGAAGATGTCATCAATGGAGAGATGCTGCAGACAGTGGAGTTTGGAGAACTGAGCAATGACCTTGCTGATGCACCTCTCTTCTCTGTCTGCTGTCCTGGTTCCAATCCCGAAAGTGTTCCTACAGATGCGGGCCAGGGAGAGTTTGTGAAGACTTCGCATCTGTCCAAGGCAGGGAGCAAATCGTGCCAGTTTGGACACATCCCACCCCGTGTTCAGTTCCAGCTCCTCAATGCGTCCTGGGTGGAAAACACTCAAGATCTCTTTGACAGTGCATATAGGCACAGTCCAGATCTTCATGTTTATACAGTGCAGCTGTAGAAAGTCTTTTCTCTGCTGGACCCACTGCAAGAAGCATGTTTGCTCTTCATT